AGAGTGGAGGTACAGAAAAAAATTGAGAAAGTACCTGAGGAACCCAATAGGCTGTAGTAAATGGGGTCCGCCAGATAAAGTGGGAGAGCAGAGCTAGCAAAAGATTAGAACCAAAATCAAATCACCTCCAAGATATGTGACAGTCAGCTTTCAAAGAGGAGGAGACCATGAACAATAACAAGAGAAGAAGGAACAGAATAGGTTGCAACCCCATGAGGCTGTATACCATTAAAAACCTAGTGGATCCCTTTGTTCCAAGGACAGAAAAACAAAGTAAGCAAAGGTAACTGCTAAAAAAGCTGCATTAAACTGAGATGCCAATGTAGAGAAAATAAAAAACACATCACAAGGAAAAAGTGCAAAAAAAGAGAGATTCTGGTGAGGAGATTGGGGGGAGACAAAATTCAAACAGTAAAGAAACGTGATAAAAAATCTCAGAAACAAACAAATCAAGGTAGGTGGGACAAAATATAAGAAAAACCGAGTGCAAGTTGGAAACCAGATATGTCCAAGTTCCCTTGTAAAGCTTATAGGGTTATGATGGAAAGCCTCCAAACGAAGGTAAAGCATGAGAATGAACAAAGAAGTTGAGTAACAGATTAAAACAAGTAGAAGGTGAGAAAGAAAAAGAAAAGAAAAGCTCCCTAAGTTGAAAGAAATGATTCAGGTGAAGAAAGCTCATGCTACAAGTGAGTCCAAGATTTAGCCAAGAGAAAAATTACTGGAGAAAGAGAAAACAAGACACATACCTGTGGAATCCCAAAAGTAAAGAACAAAGGTGGAACTACCTGATCCACATCAGAAAGAGGGAACAAGAACCAAAAGAAGGCATGAAATAACAGTGGTGAACCACAAGATGAGGCAGGCTCAGCTGAAGTAACAGATGTAGGAGGTCAGAAATCCTGGATCTGAGATCAAGATGGAACCAATCATGTGCGCAGTCTCCAGACTCCTGTGGGCGTGTTCAACACCTCAGAAAAGTCATGTAAGATAAGTGGGAACATGAAGGTATAATCCACGAAACTGATATTTCAGTGGTAGTTTTTTTTTGTCTTTATATAATGTGTGTGTGTGTGTGTGTGTAGAAGATGGAAGTCTTTCATTCATTTATTTTTTCATTGTCAGTTAGAAAGAAAATGACTCGGGTATAACAATGATGTATTGACCTAATGAATACCTTGAAAGATGCTGGAAGAAACCTTTATCTTGGATTACACAGTGGGAGAAGGCAATGTGACATATATCCTTATAGTACAAAGTCAGCTAAAAGAAAATCAAGCTGAAAATTATTCAAATGAAAGCTCCAGCTGAATAGTTTTCAACTTACTATCGTTTTTTTTCACATAATCAAGAAAATTAAAGAAAGAAAAACTACATGAACAGTAACGAAGAGTTAAAACAACAAGGACAAAACTTCCGGTAAATCTTATGAAAAAAAACATGCCAGAAGACAAGCAATGCTGAAGAAAGAATGAGCCTGTGTTCTGGTGTCATCTTCTTATTGGTGGAGGCCTCATGTGTAACAGTGGGAGCTTTGATCAAGGCTATTGGTATGGGCAAGAATAAACACAGCAGTGCACGAAGCAATCGCAATCCCTGAGTTTATGATCATATTTTACCATGTTTCCTGCCAGCAAGCAAACTGTCCCTTACCCAACACCGATAATTATCGACGAAGTACCACTCAACTTCTCTCCACGGGATATCGCCAACTTCATCCATAGATACAAGCCCCAAGCCCACATATTTCCTGAATGCACCCGTCGTCTCCACAAGGGAGGTATTTTCCTCCAATCCAGGATTCTGAAAGATTTACGATACCTCTGCTGCCCTTGGTTTTCAAACCCACCCATCACCTGCCAATCCCCATTTACCACAAGCTCTCAAAATTTCTACCAACTCAACTATCCATGCAGTTCACTGAATCACATAAAAAAACGGATTACCCTCACTTTTTGTAAAAGTTGTAAATGCATCTCAACTAATAGCGGACCTCATTCTTACCCACGAAAGCCTCACCCACCTCCTGCCCTAACTGGTACACCCCACAGGTCGAGATTCTCCGACAACATCTGCCTCTTTCCAGAAAACTGCAATCCTAGGTTTGTATCAACCATCAACAAAAGACTAACAAACCCAGACTGCACTTACAACTGAAACCAAGCTACAAGATAGGTCAATTCAAATAACACCAACAAGAAGAAGGAAGAAAGGAACCCAGACTCAGCCACTACCTATAGACTTAGTACAATCTCAAACCACTGAAAAATTGCAACAAGTCTCCTGTCTCATCTAACACCATTCCTGTCCCTTAAGCCTGACCCACCTTCCGTCCCCTCCTCGTCATACTCACCCAATGCTCTATTTATCGACACCTCCTCCGATTACCCCACTCAGCCATACGACCTATATGATGCGTCTTTCTTCGCTTTGATGAACCTACCAGCGACCAAGAAGACAAAATCCCTCCCGAACACAAACAAACTCTTCACCAATATCCACAGACACAAAAATCCATCGAAGCATTAATTTCTTGATAGCCTCGCCTTTCACTTTGCCACCCTTATTTATTTATGTTTTCTCAGTAAACGAGCACTGGTAATGGATTAGTGCATTACCAGTGAAAGTAGGTTTTCTAGGGGAACTCATGTTCTTCCCCCATCAAATTCTTGTCATTGGATTTATAGATCCATAAAGGACCATTTGTCCGAGATCGGCCTATCTAACTTTGTTCATTCAACCTATTCTTCATATCAAGCCCAACACCTCTAATCCATGAGCGGGGTGAAGGAGGATTGCTTAATCTTCGAGTGCCCCTGATGATTAATCAAGTAATTAATTTCACATCAAAACAACTGCTAGAACACAGAAGGCAATCATTCTTTATGGTGCAGAGAGATGAGTAGGTTTCTGATAAACAATAAATTAACATTAAATACAAAGGTTAGGTATATCGTATTAAAGTAATTTTAAGGTTCCCAATGTCATTACAGTTTATGTTATCACGTCTAGTCATACTCTGTCTGATGGTCGTGCATTTTGGCAATAGTCGCGCAGTGTTATTCTCAATTCTAAAGACTCTGCGTAAGACTTTCTTGTCAGAAACACAACAGTACTCCCTAAAAGCTTCTTTGGTGTACGGGTATGGTAGTTTCCCAGAGCCCATTTCAACAATCGGATAGTACAGAAATCTACACGAGACCTGAAAATTATATCTTCGTACGAATTAATATAAATACAAATTTCGTTCTCCAGTTGCTTGAAGTATACAAAGGTTGAAAGGGAGGTATGACTAGAAGCTGTACCTTGGTGACACCATACCCTGTGACCTGCGTTTTCACAATGATTATACTGTTAACTGTTGTCTGGGGCACGTGAACTGCTTTTGCCACTGTATTTTCTGTTTTATTGATTCTCACCTGTTAAGAGACGCCACATTTTGCTTACCATAGTTACGAGTTGTTCCCAGTTTCCTTCTTAATTGTCCTCCCCAAATTTATCCATGTTCCTTTGTTTTTCAATGGCATTAAGTATAAGGGATATCCCCGTTATGGAAATTCTAAATCCCTGATCTGAACTCATTTTTATGATCTGAATATATGAGTATTTTGCGTTGGAAAGAGCTGTTACATACCATTTCCAAAACCGATAGACTTTCGGTGGCATCACACCAACTACCATACAATGCAAAAAATGTAGTTTTAGCACACATTGTTTTTCCGATAATTTATAATGCCTGTGGTTTTCATGTGACCTGCATATTGAAAATAGTTTTAATATGACGTACTCAACCCTGTGTCCGTATGTGTAATCTTAAACGAAATTAATTTTAGTTTCACAACTTATCCCTATTTTTTTTTAGTGGGTGCCATTGATTGTAAGGCTTCTTATGCTTTGAATTACATACTATTTTTAAAGTATCATGAATGCATCCATATTTTTTTGGCTCTCCAGATAAAAGGGAAATGTTACATAACTAAGGATTTATACGCCACTTATCATAACAGCCCTTAACTACACCTTATTATTTTATATTCAACAAGAAGAAGAAATAATAAAGTAGACAAGGCACTAATGTTGCAAGTAGTAGAAATAAATAATATTTATAAATAAACTTAAGGTTTTGAAAAAAAAATACTAATCATGTTGAAAATGGAGATTATAACTGCACTAGCTGATGTACCATTCAATTCACGGGAAAAACATCAATTTGTTTTTTCGTTTTGTTTCTCCAGGAACTTCATTTGACCACGTCGGTTATTTTCCCTCTGTTCCTAATTTTTGCTAAGATTTTTAAATTTTGTCATGCCATCCATCTACTTTTTCTTTCTCTTGATAAGCAACGTATTTCTTGCACTGTTTCAGAACTATTATTATTCGGAATTTTAGTTTAGAATTATTTCATAGATGGTATTAGAAGTACTCAATTGAAATGGAAATCTGAGGTGGTTCGATGCCGTAAACATGATATCTTTAAATTCAAATGTTAACCAATATCCCAGATCCCTGATTTACTCTATAACTGTATTAAAAGAGCTTGCTGTAAATATGATAATTTATTTTTAAAAATAATGTCAAATCCCGCACAGACTTTGAATGAGAGACTTCCACTGGAGAGTAGAGCGTTGTAACAACTGGCACACTTTGACATCCAGTATTTGAAATCCAATGTTAACAAATATTAATATAAAGTATCATGGTACTTGTCTTTTTTTCAAGATATTAAAAGAGCTTGTTCTAAACATGATCACATATTAAAAAAAAAGATTATTAAAAAACTCCAAATATACTGATATTTGAACGCATGACTTCCGCTTGAGGTTTGGGCATCCTAACCACTGATGCAATTTGAGCGTTACCAACATTCGCTTTGGTGAACCATAAATATCGGCCATCCTAATATTCAATCACTAAAAATAAGTTACTGAAGGTACCAAACAATTACTTTACAGAAGCATTTTCACTAATTAGTGAAATCCTAAAACTAAATTTAGACTCACTTATTAGAGAAACACTCTCAGGGGATTTTTTAATCGTATTAAGTCGTGTGCCACAGAATCGATCGAAGCTGAGAGTTCCACCTTCTTTGTAGGCATTTGGGATGGAGACCCAGTCGAACTGACACGGTTCTCCTCGCATGGCCGTGCCATCCGACCCGGTTAGCTCGAAACTTTCTGGTGTCCAGCGGATATGACAAAATCCTGGATTTGGCTGTATACATATGGCATAGTTTTGGTCACTCAAGTGGCGAGGAATGTTTTCGAGTGTGGACTCAAAGTTAAAGCTTGACACATAACCTTTCGTTCCTTTGTAATACTGCAAACATCCACCAGGAGCTTGAGAGAAATAAGAATGTAGAAGCAATTAGTATATATCTGGCTTTAGAATATGTTATAATAAACAATTCATTAAAATGAAACTCATTTTTACCATTACTTAATCTATCATGCTCAAGAAAATTAACTTTACATTGTACTAATTAATTAAAGTTATCTTATTTCAAATCCCTAGCAAAAAACTCTACTACAAAGTACTGTCTGTTTTTCAAATTCGCGCAAAGCTCCAAGAGGGTTATCTGCGCTACCCGTCCCTAATTTAGCAGCGAAAGATTAGAGGAAAGGCTAACGCCAACTGTTGGGCTACTCTTTTACCAACGAATAGTGGGACTGACCGTGACTTATAACGCCCTCACGGCTGAAAGAGCGAGCATGTTTGGTGGGACAGGGATTCCAGCCCACGACCCGCAGATTGCGAGTCGGGCACACTAACCACCTGTCCATGCCAGCCATACAAAGTACTGTTTTCTAATTCTGATAACGTCCACCGTTTAGACATATTTTATATATGTAGAACCTTATATAAAATACTAGCTAAAAAGACAAACAAACGATGAGCCTTTTGTAACATACTAGTTTTAAAAAACAACAATGAACCTTATATAATGTAGTAGTTAAACAAGAAGGAATCCTCAATAGCCGCGGAGCTTGAAATTCTTTTAGGCAGGATTGGAGTAAATTAATCTGCGAGACCTTTTTTTCTTTTTTGATATTAGCTTCTTGTGTGTGCGTGCGAAAGCAATACCAAGCGTGGGGCGCGCGTGTACCCGATTCGATTTTATTACTCATCAGGATCTCTACCAGCCTACCCTCAAATTGAAATTCTTTTAGGCAAGATTAGAGTAAACTAATCTATGAGACCTTGGGCGTGGTAAGATACATCACTGGAAAGGGTTTGACCTCTCGAGTCCAAAACTGTAATTAGATCTCAAATCGGTCAGGAGATGACGGAACTATGAGCTAAAAGTTTATACATGAAAAACTCGGTGCCATTCTATAAGCCGCTATGCCACTGCTAAAAAAAAAGAACCTTGTATATATAAGATACTGTAACCTTAAGATCTGGTTACGGCTTGGATTCATCGTCTGTATCATAACAAGCTAGTAAAACGTAAATTCCAGACATTCTACACTATTCAAGAGTATTATTATTATTACATAAATCATATTATTTTGCAATGGTACAGCTACTCATTAAAGCAAAATCCATATATACAAGTCTAGATATGCTTATCAATACAAGTATGTTTGTAATTAAGCATAAAGCTACAGAATGGCCTGTCTGTGCTATGCCTACCACGGGTATCTAAACCCGCTTTTTTAGCGTTATAAGCCTTCAAACTTGCCTCTAAGCCACTGGGAGCGTTTCGATCGATATAGGATAAATCTCAATTTCGTTTATTAGTTTTAAACATGTTTATAATTTTTCCATATCTAAATTTTAATTTCGTTTAGTATATCTTTCTTTATTTTTTGTTTAGAAGCTATCTTTATAGTAATTTATTTAAAGATTTCTTGTGAATTAAAATCATTTCTGCACTATCTTTGTTAAATTAAATACTAAATATCTCCAAAGTTTGTAAAAAATAGTTGTTCATTTCTGTTTATCAACATTTGAAAAGTAACTTATCAAATTCTGTCAATCTAGCTAGTTTTTAGTGTAAATATATTTATTGCGTCAATCCTTTTTTCCAGTTAACAATAATAACACAAATAAGTTTAGTATCTGTGTCAGTTAATATTTCATTCTCTTTTTAAAATATTTTTAGATATTATCAGTAAGCTATAGAATGTTAATGTGGCTTTACGGACAGAAAGGTAATAATGATAGTTTTATATATCATACCCTTATGTAACACAAATATAAGTATTTTCTATAGCCTCACCACGTTCAGGACTGTCGCAACCAATAAATGCAACCCTTACGTTCCATACTCGTTCCACTGAAACACGAGCAGTTACGAAACTTAAAGGAAGCTCGTTGTTTTCCGTAAAGTCGATATAAACTGTAAAGGACAAATAATGTTTAACAAAATATATATTGTACTTAATAAAAAAATTAAAACCATTTAGTTAGCTTGACTGTTTTTCAACAGTATTAATATTTTAATAAATATAGAATTATAAGCAGATGGAGCCTTACGTTAAACTTTAGGTTCTAACTATCCTTATATAGAGTGCCCTAGTAGAATAAATTGAACATCCGTGAAACATCGACAGTACAATAAATTTATGTTAGATTTTAATTTCACACGTTTATATTAATTGTTCTTGTACTTACTATGTTGTCCACTGTTTTCGCCACAGATTATCGGAATGTTCAGGAAGCCAGGAACAAAAAACTGGTCATTAACACATGCAGTGTTACTAGGTTGGGCGAGGGTCATCTTTACGAAATCTAGTCGAACCTGACAGATGTTAGGCAGTTTCTTAATGGTGACGTCACAGCGGCGAGTATCAGTGAAAGTAGAAGGGTAGCTGGGGCTTAGGATTATTGAGTTATTATGCCGAACTACATCACCGCAACTCACCTCAACTGTAACAGATGAATGATAATTCTTTCGTAAATTGTTCAAGTTCTACGCGAGTTATATTAAGTAATGTTTATTTACATGGACTACAAGTTGTCATGGTCGATCAATACCACTATTAAAAGAAATAAAAGTGAAATTTGCCTTCAAATTCGAATAATGCTATACATTAACTAATTACCCTTTTGCTATCTATACATAGATGTGACCAGTATGGGGTGTAACTAGGGTGTCAACTTTAGGACACAAGTTTATTGCACCTAGCACTCTATGTTTCATTTACTTGTTTTTATTCTTATTTATCTTTCGTGTTTTTTTGTTTTTTTTGTTGTTGTTGTTTGTTTGTTTTTGTCTCTTTCCCACAGCTGGTTGCAGATGGTCAAGAGTAGTTTTCAACTATTAGATGTGAATTTCATGGGCTTGAGCATCTGCAGATATCTCTCTCTTACTATGATAATTTTTCTATTCTTACAATGTAGTTTTTGCCTGTCCCGTGTTTGTGATGCAGTTGTTTTGTCCAGACTGTTTGAAATTAAAAACGAAAACAAGAATATACGGGTAAAAACACGACGTTTTAAAATATTAGGCTTTGGTTTTCTCCTAGCTCTATATTCAATAGGAATGAATGACCAAAATTTTCACACAGTTGACTATGATGATCATTTAACAAGTTTAAGAGAGAAATGAAGACATCCCCCTCGTGAATTTGCATACGAATAACATGTAGCATTGCTATAAATGGTTTATAAATTGTGTCAGAATCAGTCAGTTGGAGTCACCATGTCACATGGAAAAACAGATTATGAATCTTCAAGAGCAATAGTTGTTCGATAAAGTATTAGTAGCATTGTAAAACATTTCAACCCAGTATTAGTAGCATTGTGAAACATTTCAACCCAGTATTAGTAGCATTGTAAAACATTTCAACCCAGTATTAGTAGCATTGTGAAACATTTCAACCCAGTATTTAGTAGCATTGTAAAACATTTCAACCCAGTATTAGTAGCATTGTGAAACATTTCAACCCAGTATTAGTAGCATTGTCAAACACTTCAACCAAGTATTGGTAGCATTGTGAAACACTTCAACCTAGAATTAGTAGCATTGTCAAACATTTCAACCCAGTATTAGTAGCATTGTGAAACATTTCAGCCCAGCTTCTCAAATTCAAGTCCAATGTGGTTAATATACCGAATGCACTACCATGGAATATTTGTATAGTCATTCAAAATAAGTTATGTCTCGATCCACGCAAGCTCTGAAGCATATTGAAAAACAAGGTCACACACCTGACATTATATTCATTAACCAGGATTTTAATGAGAGTTTCGGAACTGCAGGGCAGCACATTATACGTATGCATTGAGCTCCTATGCTCTTTAATGTCGTGAAATGCTACAAGCCATAATCTGCCACGATGGCCTTGTCATATTGTAACATTATGGGCGATTATGTGGCAAATAGCAATATCTTTTCCAATAACATGGTACGCTATCTTTTGCATCTATTGGTTATATGAAGCCATTTTCTAAAATCGGCCTTAAGTTACCAGAGCTTAGACTTGAATTTAATTGATTTGCTTTAAGACGTTTTGTAAAGCCGCCTGTAAAATAAAAAGTACATATCCTGAAATTTCAATAAACAGTTAATTGTATTGTGGTTTATTCCACCAGGTTGTGACAAATGAAATTAGTTTTATTATGAATTTGGGGCAAAGCTACTCGAGGACTATCTGCACTAGCCGTCCCTAATTTAGCAGTAATAGACTAAAGGAAAAACAGCTAATCAACACCACCCACCATCAAGTCGTGGGCTACTCTTTCACTAGCGAATAGTGGGATTAAATGTAACATTATAATGTCCCTACCGCTAAAAGGGCGAGAATTTTCGTTGACGAGGATTCGAACCCGCGACCCGCAGGTTGCGAGTTGAGCGCCGTAACCGCCAAGCTATATCAGGCATGACAAATAAAATAATCTATAATAACTGCTCGACAATGTTGTTATAACCTCGTCAAATTGGATGTAATGGCACTAAATTGAATAATGGATACAATACACAAACTGAGCTATTTCAGTGCAAAACTTATCGTAAAGAATCTTAAAAATCAAATACTGAATTATCTATTAATATATAAAAAGGTAAGTGCAACTTACACACACAACATACGCCAAACTTTGCAGCACAGCTGCCTCTGTCTTTCCCTCCGAGATTTTTGCATTCCCATTCAGTGTAACAAGTTCCGACCAGCAGATCATCTGTCTGGCACAGTTCGTTAGGAAAATCAACCAAAGCGAAAAAGCTGAAGAAAGCTTTAAAAAAAAAAAAAAA